GCACAAGATATCAGTAGGCTAACGTTACTTTCTTTTATTCTACAGAAGATTGAACATAATGGAAGATTGAAGAAACAAGATTGAAGTGGCGGACGTGGCACGTCAAATCGGAGATCCCGTGCAAGCGAGCCTAGTGCTTGTGCTTTTGAAGGAATCGTATGCGATGATGGTGAAACGGTTGCACAAGGAGAATATGGATCAAAATAAGGAGTTAGCCTCGTTAAAGTCGGCTTCCTCGGCAACGTACACGTACTAGCAGAAACAGCCGTTCCCGCGACGATAATACGTCCCATTAAAATTGTGGTTCGCCTACGAGTACGATGCAGGAACAAACGTCTCGTAAATTTCCACCGTTACCAGTACCGAGCTACTGGCATCATACATTACCGAGGTCGAGCTCATAGATTTCTATTATCTATATCTGTAAACTTGTAAATTTATCATAAAAAACATGTTTGAAAAGTCTAAGCAGTCATTAAAAATCTACATGTGCGTTATTACGGGTATTTCGCGCGATTCGTCGACACGAGAAGCAAAACCATCGGGCAGATACAAACTCGACCGTTTTGCCGCAACTCCAGAACGGCAGCGTGAAGTCAGCGGAAGTGGCTAGTTTCGAATCGCCGTCTTATCGATCGCGCGAGTACCGCACGGTACGGCCGCGACGGCAACAATCGTAAATACAGAGGTCGTCAGGCGTTGCAAAAAGAGCAGCAATCATTCGTACCATTCTCGCAAAATCAAAGACAGAACGTCCAAGGATCACATCCGCGAGACACATGAACGACACTGGTGAGGGCTCGAAAGAAGCGGATAATCCTCGAAGACAGTAACGTGCACGACACGTTGCCGATGCGTAAAGATAGACGGCGATCTGGCAAGATTTATAGTTCTCTGGTACTATAAACACATTGAGATTTTGAACATACGAGACGTTCGAGATACTATATCAGCTATAAGACTTATCGTTAATGAGTGCGCAATGTTCTTTTCACTGATGCTGCGCGATCACGACAGTCTTATGCATATTTAGCACATGCAATGGGATAGCAACGACAAATGGGTATAAACTGTACGATTTTCGATGAAACAATCCAGTTTGTATTCTAATTTCACGTGTTATAGGTTGCCATAAAGGGATGTAGAAACTTGCGCTTTTTGTAGATTGACTGACGATAATCAGCATAGTGTTTAACGGAAGACTTTTTGCTAGATAAGAAGATTTTTTTTCTTTCTACACAGAGAAACGAGAGAAAATGAGTACGACCAAGGACTCACTATAAGTGCTAGCTTTTCGGTTGATGCTCGTAATTTTACAGACTTGAGCTTAATATGCGTGCAATAATTCGATATGCTGTCGACGCATGTGCGTACGTGTGTTAAACTTTTAATCGATAATGAAGCATTAAAGAATCGCTTCTGAGAGTCAAATCTAGTCATTTTCACGTATTCTATTGAGACAATAAATCGTTGAACGATTTAGATTATACATATATGTATATATATATATATATATATTTATATTTTTTATTGGTTTTATGTGTATTTATATTGTTAATGTATTTGTTACGTACAATGCATTATATTTCATCAAAGTAATAGTCAACGTATATTTTATTTTGATTTTACAATAATATTACTGACACAATTTGATTGTCTTGTAAAAATATGCACGAATCTATTGTATTTGATTTATTATTCTCTTCTTCGACAAGTTTCTTTATTTTTCCTCTTTGACTATTTTCAACTACGAAACATTTAAAGATTATTGGACTTATTGTCTACATTGGGCAAAAATTTTCATAATTTCTACTTATAACCGAGTCTTGAATTTTAAAAATGGCAGAATGTATGGAGTATTGTTGAATTTAATCATTTTAGAAAACGTCGCGGATACTCTGCGGAATAACATAGAAAAACTGTGCCACATTACGCGGATTATAATACAGAAGTGTACTTAATACGTACGTAAAATTTTGTACGCTTATAAATGGATGACGTATCAAAATAATATAATATCATAACAATCATGTGTGTGTAATTTAATTTTTTGAAAAACCATCTTCCACGATTATTCTATATATACCATATATATTGAATAAATCTTGGCTTATCGTAATCTTTTCATTTATCGCCATTATTATTTCAAAATATTTTACTTACGTCTGCGCTACATACACATCTAGCTTTGTTTTAAGATGTGAAATTTCAATGTTTCAAATATATTCGTGTTACAATCATAAATTATTTCGTTAAGTTAATTTATCTTTCTTGTCCTTAAACACGCTACGTGATAAAAAACAGAAAAATTTCGTTTTTCAGAAAAAGTTTATTATAAAATATACCTTGGGTACATACTCAACGCTATATACGTGAACACGCTCTGTAACAACTACAGACGCGACTGAGACGTGCCAACGTAAAAAGATGTGTGAATACGTCTACGAGAGTACCCTGCAAACGGAGAAAGGCTCTTCAGGGCGGTCCGCACGTGAGAGTGTTAGTAAAAGTTACGTTGTAAGTAATATACAAAAGCGCATGTTACTCGCGTATAGAGGAACACGGCTAGACATCGCGCTTGAGCGTTATAGTATTTATAATTTTATTACAGCGATACACAGTACGTTCAAGACGAAGCACATAATCAATGCCGTAACGCCGAATATTGAGATAAGTTGCCGAGTTACGTTTGCATGTGCCACCGTTTGCTTTCCCGTGAATCTTAATGATTACATCCGAATCACAAACGTAAAGTTACACGAGTGAAACAGACGCGCGACGGTCGGACGCGACTGAGTTTAAAACGCATATTTCGCGAGTATCAATCCATTAACAAATTACAGGTAGTTTCGTCGATAATAAGACGTAATGTACGGACTGTATATAGGATTTGATCTTGACATTATACATGATTGCAGGACCTGTATACGCGGCGTTTTATTTAAAAAGATGAAAAAAATTCACGAAACTCGTAGATATGCAGGAGAAAAGCACATGAAACTCATGAAAAAATAATCCCCGGGATTGAATGTTTATGCGCCTCACCCTGTATAGTCGACGTTTGTTACAATCTCCATCTACGTACTTTCGTCAACGGTTTCCGAATTTCGATCAAAATGACCCCGAACGGTCAGTCTTTCCGTTTAAATTTTATTACGTTCATTACAAGTATACGTGAGCATGTGACTGCTGTCCAAAGTGACTTATATAGACACTCCCTACTTATATTCTACTGTTTCGTTAAAATACACGTTACATACGGCACGGTAGCAAATTTTTCCTTCACGTACGATGCGACACGGCACAAATATCGCGTGTAATTTTTGCGACGCTACCGTGTACACGTTCGACAAACTACACCTGCAGCACAAATATTTTGTTGACGCCCCTGAAGAAGCAAAATATGAAACTCGCGTGAACAAGAGATCGTCGTTCTGACTACCAACCTAATACGTTTGTGCAAATTAACGTGATTAAAACGCTTCGTAATATTTGATGAATATTGTTTGTTATTTTTGCGTAGAAACACAGAGTACCGCATGTCTTACGTTACTTGTTCCATGATGGCCCATACATATGTATACGTATCGTTAAATGCTAGAAACTCATCGTTGACAAGAAATAACGTTTAAAACTGACCTAGGGCATTTGCATATCGAATCGTGAATGGCTAGCGTTACGTACATTTCTCTCTCTCTCTCTCTCTCTCTCTCTTTCTCTCTCTCTCTCTCTCTCTCTCTCTCTCTCTCTCTCTCTCTCTCT